AGCTTGTTCTAAGTAGGTGCTTTAGACCACTGAGCCATCTCACCAGCCCCAAAATGTTACTTTTGTTTTTTTTTTTTTTTGAGAGACCGGGGATTGAACTCAGGCCCTTGCGCTTGCCAGGGAAGCGCTTATTCCACTGAGCCATCTGCCCGGCGACATTGTGTATCACTTGTAATTTTTTAATTCTAATCTGTACTCTCTTTAAAAAATAAAAAAAAATTAAAAATTCATTTAATCTAAAAGATTGAAAGGGAATGAAACTGCCCTGCCATTGTCTTATCAAATGTTTCGGCTTCAGATTTGTCTGACTACCTCTTCCAAGGGTTCCAGCGTGCTCATCCGCCCTCCGTGCTTCCTAGATTCTGGTGACAGGACCTGAGGTCCATATTGTCACACACGCTGAATGTTTGATCACAGGGGCGCAGGGTGTGTTTCGTACTGACTTAGGCAGAGCTACGTTAGGTTAAGCAGCTGACAGTCTGGTCCTTGCCTGTGAAGGTCCATTTCTCCTTGCAGCATGAGAAGTGGTTTCACTTTGACGGTGTACTATATCAGTGTTCATTTTTCTATCATCCTAATACTAATGCACTTAATACTAATTGATAATTCTTGCTTGGATCAGTAACTTGGCAGAACTATCCTTTTTCTAATTCTTCCTCTCCATTAGCTGGCTTGATTGAATTGCTCTTCTTCCGCTGGGACTCACTGGCGCTGTGGAATGCAGTTCTATGGAGGGACAGGTTAAATATTGAGTTGTGTACTCCTTAATTCCCTCTTTCAAAGTAAGCAGTTGGTTATAATTGATTCATTAAGTGGTGGCAAGTGAATTTTTGCTTTAAAAATATTCTTCTGTGTTAATGGATTTTTATGACTTGAATGCTTTAATAAATTATGATATTCATTCTTTTAATGTTCCCCTTGCCTTATGTTCAGTTTATTAAAATGTTAGCCAGTGACAGTCCCTTGTTTTTTTTTTATTTTATTTTATTTTTTTTTTCTGTATTTAGGACAGAGTCTACAAACAGGATCGGACTCATAGTGATTCTCCTGTTTTCAGCCTCCCAAGTTCTGGGATTACATGTGTACACTGTCATGCTCAGTCTCTATTGCTGTCTCAGCGCGCTGAGGTCGGGCCGGCACAGCAGGCGAGGGCACTCATAGTCCCTTGTAATTGGCCACCGTACCTTGTAATTGGCTACTGTATCCTGTGAATTCCAGGATACTCCACAAGGTGTGCAGGCTCATCTCGTAGCTCCCTTGTTCCACGCTTCAGTTAGCCACTTTGCTGACAGCCTCGGATCCTTTTCCTGGGTGTGTGTTAGACTCCGAAATCCTGGCACTTGGAATGTTTATTGGTACTAGACTGGCAGTGTTCATAGACCTTTTCAGTGGTCTCTGTAGTTTTCGAATTTTGATATTAAAAATTTGAGTAATGAAAATTCACTCGCTAAAGGATCTCTATAATTTAAAAAACAATGGGATGTACGGTATGGTTGAAAATTGTTGAAAGCAGATTTTAAGTATTTTTGTGTAATACTTATAATAATTTGTTCAATTTAGCAATTCTAAATATGAATATGTATATAACTTGTCATGTTGCATACTATAAATGTATACCAATTGTACTTGTCAATTAAAAAGAAATGCAAAAAATAATGGGTTCATACTTACATTTCCAATTCAATTCTAACATTATTGGTTTTTTAGTATTAATTTTATTGAGAAGAAAGAAGTAGCAATGAGACAGTTTCTTTTTTAACAGTTCAGTAGGACAGTTACAATGATTAATACACTGCATATTGTTGCCTTTGTAGTAGTTATTCATAGTACAAGATGTAGACATGATATCTTGTTATTGTTTTTTTTTTTTTTTTTTTGAGTTAGGTCTTGTTATGTAGGTCACGATGGCCTTGAACTCACTATGCAACCTAGGGTGGCCTCGAACTCGTGGTGATCCTCCTGCCAGTGCTACGATTACAGGCGCACACCCCCTCACTTGGCCATTATTGTGTTTTCAGTAGTTAGTTGATTTTATAATTGTATCTTTTTTTTTTTTTGCAATGAAAATCTAAACCACCAATAACAGACATCGCTTCTTCTAATCATATAAAGAAAATAATTTCAAAAATAACATCAATATTACTATTAGTAAAATGAATACTAAAGCCAAATAAAGTTTAAACATTTCTTTAGGTATTTTTGCATAGGTTGATTTTGTTTTTTTTTTTTTTTTTGTGGAACCAGGGATTGAACTCAGGTCCTTGCGCTTGCCAGACAAGCACTTATTCTACTGAGCCATCTCCTCGGCCTCTGTATAGGTTGATTTGATGGAAGGATGAATTACTCAAATATTAATCTCATTTAATTAATTTTCTTTGAAATGTGTCTTTTGTTTTTGTTACAGGTTGATCATTTTGGATTTAATAACCCCAGAACCTTTAAGCAGCGTTACTTAATATCTGATAAGCACTGGGAGAAAGATGGTGGCTCAATCCTTTTCTACACTGGTAACGAAGGGGACATTGTCTGGTTTTGCAATAATACGGTATGTGCAGATTCGTGAAATTGCCTTGCTCATGCTGTTTGTCTTTCAGTGCAATAAACTAGAAAAAGTCATTTTGTAGATAAATGACCAAGTATTACTGTTTTTTTAAATGGTAAAAGAATTGAATCTGAGACCTGGGCACCACACTGCATCTTCAGACCTTTTAAAAATTAATTAACTAATAAATTAATTTTTTTGAGATAGGGTCTCACTAATTTACTAAGATTCCAAGGCTGACTTCAAACTTGGGATGCTCCTGCCTCAGCCTCCCAGAGTGGGAGGATTATAGGTGTGACCACCGTGCTAAGCTAAGCATTAGAATTTTTAATTATAAAGTTCTTTTAAGAAATAAAAAGACAAACGTGCCTGTAATAGAAAAATAACAAAACTATATGGATAGACAGTTCACCAAAGAACAGGTATGTTCAGGAAGCTTGCATATTCCGTTTAAAGGAATTACAAATGAAAAGAATCAAATGATTTTCTTGGAAAATGGAAATAAAGTGTTTTTTGGTAAATACCTGCTTATCTCTAGAGCAAGCTGCGGATGATGGAGACAGGCACAGATGTTGCTGCGTGCCTTTGGTATGGGCACGGCTTCTGGAAGGTAGCTTCCAGGGCAGGAATCCCAGTGCGTCTATTTGGGTTGTGTCTTCAGAGTCCGGGAATATTTGGTCATGTAGTAGGTGATCAATAATGTGTGTTATGTATATGAATAACTAAAAGGAAAACAAAGCCAATACAAATAAAGAATATACATGTTTAACTGTCAGACAGGAATGGGTACACTGTAAGGTTAGGGCTTCCTGTTTGCCATTTTTGTTGTATTTATATGGTGAAAATGTACAACTTTGTATAAGATCCCTTTTTGCACTTGGAGTTGAACTCAGGACCCTGTACTTCCCAGGCAGGTGCTGTGCCATTGAGTGCGATCAGTGGCCCAAAATTGTATGACTTAGTAGGTTGCTTTTCTGTCACCTTTTATGCTACTTAAATCCATTAACGAAATTAAATATAGAGGGACACATGAAAAGAAGGTGTCCCTTTCAATGTGTTAATGATCCAAGTAGAAGATGTCAGCTTTTGGCTGGGGAGATAGCTCAGTGGCATAAGCACCAGCCTGGCAAGCCCAAGGGCCTGAGTTTGATCCCCCAAACCAGAAAAGAAAAGAAAATATCAGCTTTCTACCACAAAGCTGGCCTGTAAATTATTGTGAAACGATAGTTAATTGTGTGGCTCTGAAGCCGGTATCCGGCCTGTGACCTGGTATTCAGGAGGCCTCAGTCAATGCTTGTTGAATTGAATCGAATTGAAACTAAAGATGAACCCAACTGTACCGCTTTTGTGCTGAGAGTCTAATGCGTCAGTTGAAAAGAAAGCAGTTCACGCAGAAAAGAGACCCTAGGATGTCTGCGCCTTTAGGGCGGCGACAGGGCCCTGGTCTCCCTTCCGTGGATGCCCGCTCCCTTCCCCTCTGAGACCGCAGCAGCCCCACCTGTCTGTCCCGCGTGGACCTTCCCTTCCACGCACGGTCCCAGGACAGCCTGTGCAGCCCAGGGACTTCGCTTCTTGTTCTTCGTTGCTGCGCAGCCTTGCTCTCGCCCTGGGCGTGGGTAGATGCTGCTCCGAGGCGAGGCGCTGGTGTGGAACCCGCCCTGCGTGGAGCAGGCTGGAGAAGGGGAGCTGCTCGCTCTGCGCAGGGCTTCCTGGGAACCCAGCAGGGGTGGCACCCCGAGGGAAGATCCTGGCCTTGCGCATGGCATCTGCTTTACCTACTGAACACTCCGACTGCAGTTCGCTTCCAGAATTCACTTGCGAGAGGCCATGTAGCAGAGTGCTTAGCAGTGAGGATGTCACCAGTGACAAGATTCGAGTTCTGGCTTTGCCACTTTGTTGTGTGACTTGGGGCAGAGTGGGACAGGCAGGTAGGGCTGCTTGTGACTGTGTTTGTAGAGGCCTGAAGGGATGGGCAGGTCGTAGAAAGACAGTTTCCTGTGTGCGAGACCTAACCCTCCTGTGGGGGCTTGGAGTGCTCTGTTGAGAAAGATTTCGAGGCCGCGATGGAGGTAAGTGAGAACGTCCTGTGAACGTGATCGCTCAGTCGCAGGCGTTTCCCGCAGGCAGCCGAGCAGCCCCTGGGTGGCCCTCTGCGGCGGCCGCCTAGTCTGTCTTTGAATCTTGACTCTGCCGCTCTCTCTTGTGCGATCAAGTCTCGTGCCTCAGTGTTCTTGTCCATGTAATGGGGGATAGTCAGAGGGCCTGTGTGTTATTTGTTGTGACTCATACTATGAATTTAGAACAGTGTCTGATACCGTGTGAGTTGAGAATAGTGCCTGATGTACTTGAGGGCTTAGGTCATTGTAGGTATTCTTAGTTACTATTTATTTTCCAATAAATAAGACTTAATTTCAAGCCGCTAGGGAGCTTAATAGGATTATTTATTCCATTTTCTTTCTGATGCTGCAAACACCTATGCCTTGGTGTCTCTCTGCGTCCTTGTCAGTGTCCTGGAAGTGCTGACACGGTGCACTCTGGGGACTGCTTGAGACCCCGCGTGCTTCTAGGCCTGCAGGTTCAGGGTGGGAAGGTCCGAGCGACCGCCTGGCGGAGGCGCACCCGAGACTTAGGTACACTTCGCTCCAGTCCAGTGTCCCACTGCGCAGCTTTTCAGAGGGCTCTTTAGGGGCTGGCTTGACATTTATGTCCTGTGCTTTGCAGAAGCTTCGGTGGGAAAACAACAACAACAGAAAACCCTATGGTGATGTTTTTTCACCTTGCGATTTTGTCTTGTAACTACTCTTAGGGGTTCATGTGGGACGTGGCCGAGGAGCTGAAAGCCATGTTGGTGTTTGCTGAGCATCGGTACTATGGAGAGTCCCTCCCCTTTGGGGCCGACTCGTTCAAGGTGAGTGTACTGCTTCCTTTCAGTGCTTTACTTGTTATTAAGTTAGGATCTTACTATGAAGCCCAGGCTGGCCTTAGACTCCCAGCAGTCCTCCTACCTAGCCTCCTGAGTGCTAGGATTGCCGGTGTGCACCACCTCGCCTGGCCTTTTTGCCTTTTTAAAGCTTAGAATGTTTGTACATCTGTGTGGGTGATGTGGCTTCACCCTTCCTTTCTGTGAGGTTTGAGTGGAGGGGCCGGCCTGGGGTAGGCAGCAGTGCTCAGGGGAGGAACTGAACCTGCCCTTGCTTCAGGGTGGCCAGGGAACAGATCTGCTTTAGAAAGTGCAGTTTAATTACTGGGCCTGCCCTTGGAAACAGTAGAATGAGCACACACATACTTGCCTAATAAGATTTTTTAAAAATAAGATGTAATCAATAAAGTAAGGACGCATCAGGGCTGGCCAGATAGCTCAGTGGACTAAAGAACCTGCTTAGGCAGGCCCAGGGACCGGGGTTCAATCGCCTGCACGCTGTGACGCATCAGGGCTGGCCAGATAGCTCAGTGGACTAAAGAGCCTGCTTAGGCAGGCCCAGGGACCGGGGTTCAATCGCCTGCATGCTGTGCCGTGCTGGCCCTGCCCCGGGGAGCACTGAGACAGTGACTAGGCCTGGGCGTGGTGGCCCGCGCCTGTAATCCCAGTGCGTGGGAGGCTGAAAAGAGGAGAATCGCTAGGAGTCCGCTCTACGTAGTGAGGCCCTGTAGGCCCTGTCCTAAATACATTTTTAAAAAGTAAGCCCACATCGGCTCTCTGCTACAGTGAGGCCACAGCGCCTGGGTTCCTCCACTTTCCCCTCCTCCTAGGAAACTCCTGCCTTAGCCACAGACCTCGCACCTGGAAAAGCCAGAACTGTGCCCTAAACTGCCTGCAGTCTCTGTGCTTCTGTCCATGTAATTTGCTGCCTGCACTACTTCTTACTTATTTTTTCACATTATAAGGTGTAGAACTCTCATTTATTTATTTATTTGGTTTTGTATTTAGGACAGGGTCTACAGGACGCAGGGTCTCACTGTGTAGGTGGGACTTGTAGTGACCTTCCTGTTCACAGCCTCCCAAGTGCTGGGATTACAGGTGTAATCTACCCAGTCTCAGTCGCCATCTCAGCGCCAGGGCCAGCACAGCAAGCCAGGGGATCAAACTCCCGGCCACTGTGTCTGCCTCAGCAGGCACTTTAATCCGCTGAGCTATTTGGCTGGCCCTGAACTCACTTTTAAAAAATTGCTTTTATTACTGTATGTCTGCAGTGTGGAATGACTGTGCACCATGCAGATGGGCACACCTTATTCTCTGTACTTCCTTTTCACTCTCCTCTTTCTCCCTTTCCTGCCAACTCTCAGGCCCTTGCTTATTTGCAAACTTAGTTTTATCTTAACCACGGACTTTCTGTGTTAATTATTTATTATTATTCTTTAATGTATTTACCACAGGGTTAACAGGGTCTCACTAACAGATTGAACTCGTAGTGATTCTCCTGTTTTCAGCCTCCCACGCACTGGGATTACAGGCGCGTGCCACCATGCCTAGTCTTAGTCGCTGTCTCAGCGCGCCCCAGGGGCAGGGCCAGCACGGCACGACATGGGGGGGATTGAACCCGGGTCCCTGTGCCTGCCTAAGCAGGCTCTCTAGTCTGCTGAGCTATCTGACCAGCCCTCCAAATTTTAAACTAACATGTCACACTTAAAGGAGATGTTCCATTAAAAATGTTAGTGACGGCCCAAGGCCATCCGGCGTGCTGCCCACGCGCACTGCCTGTGCACGCTGCCAGCGCACCCTTGTCGTGCTTTTGGAGCGCTCTTAGAAGAACTCAGGGCAGGTTCTTGGACTGCCTGTTTTGAACAGAGTTTTAAATTTTTATTCTCGTTTCTCAGAGGTTTTATGATCTTATTATAAATAAAGCCAATAGCAACAAAATAAAGAAAAAAGAAAAACAATGTCCTCATGTGATAAGTAAGAAGTAGAGGGATTTGCTGGTGTTTGTTGGGGTAGAGGGGAAACGCTATGCTTCAACCACATGTTTCATACACACTGCAGATCTGATTAGAGAAATGAAGGGCAGATGGCACAGGTAGCCAAGAGGAGGCTGGGACCTGGGACTCAGCGATGTCCCACATGGTGGCGGGAATCAGAGTGGAGAGATCCAAGCACGAGAGGTCCACCGAGGGGCGCATAGCGAGGTGCGAAACCTTCTGTTATCCACGTTTGTAGCAGCACAGTTCATGGTGGCTGGCTCTTGAAAGCAGCCCAAGCATGTCCATCCGCTGATGAATAGAAAAGGGAAATGCGATACTTGTACACAACGGAGTACTACTATGCCATAAAGAAGGAGATGTTTGAGTCATTTGGAAGATGGCTGCATCTTGGGACCATAATAGTAAGTAAAATAAGCTAGAAACAAGCTTAAGTATCACAGTTTCTCTTATGGGAGAAAGCCACAGGGTAAGTAAATTAGAGCAAAAGGGAAAGCTGGGCAATAGGAAGCAGGGAGCTGGGTCTTGGCAGATGGGAAGGAGGCCTAGCAAGGGGCAGGGGAGCAGGTGGGGGCGCAGAGAATGCAAACAGAATTAGAATCTGTCATGAGCATGTGGTCTTCAGGATGCGTGTGACTGTGTGCTGTAGACATGTACTAATAAAAATGAAAATACAGAAAGCCAGGAAGAAGCCAGCACTACCTCACGGGGTCTTTAGCTGAGTGTTTGGAGCGGCTTAGTGAGCCCGTTCTGTTGCAGGGGTCTCTTGAGGTCCAGACATCATCCTGTGTGGTGTTGTCACCCACAGTCCTGACTGCAGCGGCTCCTGCACTGCATGGTGGGCCTCACGGGCATGAGAGACTCCGGTTGGGTGTTAGCACAAGCTCGTGCCCTCCCCCCAGGCCGCTATGCGTGGCTCCTGTCGTGGCAGCCAGCTTCCCTCACAGACCCGAGAGCAGGAGTGGCGTGAAGCCGCAGGCCTTGGGTGAACTAACCCTGGGAGCCGCGTGCCGTGGCTCTGGCCTCACTTTGCTCCTTAGAACAAGCCACTGCAGTCAGCCCAATTCAAAGGCAGTGGAATTCACCCTCCAGAGGAAAGCGTGTCTGGAATTTACAGAGCGCCTCCACCCCTCGCCAGCCCTGGCCAGCCAGGCTGCTCTTGAGCGCCCCTTCCTGAGCTGCAGGGAGACGCCCTCCTCTGCAGGGCTGCATGCTCTTGGGATCCGTGAGCATCTGTCTTCTCTCCATCACTGTCTATGCTTCCTGTTCTCCAGGGCTCCCAAATGTGTTTCTTCCCTTTTCCATTTTATAGTCGTTTGTGATAGGCAGCCTAATTTGTTCCAGTTGTGGTCAGCAAAATGTATACATTTTGATGTGGAAGGGTGAGTTGTATTTTTACTGCTGGTCCTTGTCCCTTTGTCTGTAGAGTTTAGTTTATCTTTGATTACATGGTGGGCATTCTAAAATGTTAAGATTTGAAAGAAAAGGTGTATTCTAACCATTGTCTAGTATGCTGAATTTTATTTTCTATCATATTTGCTGTTAAATGTTACCTAGATTTTGTTTCTGTTCTTTCTACAGCCTCAACAAGGTCTCTAGAAAATTGCATTTAATAGAAATTACTTTTGAAAATATATTGGGTGCTTCCCTAAGCTTAAAATCCCTTTCATGAGTTGTTTAAATCAGCACAGCGATTGCCTTGTCTGGGCACTTTAGCTCAGTTACCAAGGAGTGCCGTCTAGGGAACGTCTGTCCGACTGGCTCTGTTCTGAACCTGTGCTATGTGTACGCTGCTGTTATGTGTGCACTTATACTCCTGGTCTTTGTTATTTTCCTTAAGGATTCCAGGCACTTGAATTTTCTGACATCAGAACAGGCTCTGGCGGATTTTGCAGAGTTAATCAAACACTTGAGAAGAACAATCCCGGGAGTGGAAGATCAGCCTGTCATTGCCATAGGGGGCTCCTACGGTGGAATGCTTGCTGCCTGGTTCAGGATGAAATATCCTCATGCGGTGGTTGGGTGAGTGCATTTATGTGACGTGATCGCCGAGGGGAGCACAGAGATTCATTCTGGATAAAACATGCTCCATTCTTTTGTACCGAGATTCCTAGTGTCTGTGTCATTCACAGGGATTTTTCCTCATCCTTTTTGTTCAGGCTTAGTTTTAATTTTAAAACTTAAGTTAGATACGTTATACGTTGCTTTCTCTTCTCCTCTCTTGTTTCTCCGGCTATGCAGAGCTCTTGCCGCTTCCGCTCCTATCTGGCAGTTTGAGGATTTGGTTCCTTGTGACACGTTTATGAAGATTGTCACGACAGATTTCAGGAGAAGTGGTCCGAATTGTGCAGAGAGCATCCGCAGATCCTGGGACGCCATCAACCGCCTCTCGGTTGCCGGTAAGTGTAAGAGAGTGGGTCGCGGTCGTTTCTTTTTACCTTTAATAATTTGTTAGATTTACCACTTGCACTTTTTTTGTCCTGCTGAGGATTTGGCCGAGGCCCGTGTGCAGCCTAGGCAAGCTCTGGACCACGGAGCCACAGCCTCAGCCTCGGCCCGGCATTTCTACCTTCTAAGCAGTATTTCATGAAGGGAAGACTTGTAGGAAGGTGCACAGTGAGCTGCCTCGCTTGATGGATTTTCACAATGAGAGTACTTTGGAGAATTAGCATCCTGGTCAAGAAAGAGTATCACAAGGGTGAGGCGGTACATACAGGGAGCAAAACCTACTAGAAACCAGAGTGGGGACCATGAGTTTGAGGCTAGTTGGGGCAGTGTTGTGAGGTCCTGCCTCAAAGAAAAGAAACATGGTATTTCCAATACTCATTCACATAGACAGACAGACAGACACACACACACACACCCCAAAAAAAGAAATCACAAGAAAAGGGCAAACTATAGTGTCTAAAAAATCCTCTAATGCCTTTCTAAGTCAGTATTTCCATACCTGTCCAGCTAATCACTATCCTTACCTTTTAAACCATAGATAATTTCTGTAATTGCATAGTAACTGCTATTTTGTTTCTTATGTTTTGCTCAGTGCTGTATTTTTTATTTTTTTAAATTTTATTTGGTATAGGGCCTCACTATGCAGCTCAGACTCCTAGAGATCCTCCTGTTTTCAGCCTCCTCAGTGCTGGGATTATAGGCGTGCACTACCACACTTGGTTTCCGTGGCCTCAGGGATCCTAGGGGCGGGGCTGGCGCTGCATGTGGTGACAGGAATCGAACCCTGGTCCCTGTGCTTGTCTAAACAGTCGTTTTATTGGCTGAGCTATCTCACTGGCCCTCAGTACAGTATTTTTTTTTTTTTTGACATGATACACCTATTTGTTTTATTTACTTGCAGTTTATTTATTCTCTGTGTTCCACAGTATTCCTATTTATTTCCATAGGATCTCAAAGCAGGGGAGTAAAGGAGAATACTAATTCTGGCATGTTCTATGAATGTAGCGACATTATATTATCCAGATGCTCTAAAAAATTTTTATTAAATGTTGGAAACATTCCTGGGCAAGGCGCATATAAAATGTCATTTTCTGTACACCGAGTGAAGGGTGCGTATCTGTGGAGGGGCCCTTTGAGCAGTGCTTCTGAGACCCCATCTGTGTGATTCTGTTCCAGGGAGTGGCCTCCAGTGGCTGACTCAGACCCTGCACTTGTGCGACCCCTTAACTTTGGAAGACATTCCGCGTTTCAAAGAGTGGATTTCTGAAACGTGGGTGAATCTGGCCATGATGGATTACCCGTACGAGTCTAGCTTTATGCAGCCTCTGCCTGCATGGCCTATCAAGGTAAAGGAAAGACCCTCTCAGCATTTTTAGTAGCATGTCTTTCACACGTTTCTCTGACAACATAGGGATTCCATGCTGTGGGTGACTTCTGGATTGAAACCCTGGCTTTGGTCATTTTGTGATCGTGTGACCTCAAATACATACCCTAACCTTTGTGAAACAATTTCCTCTTGTGACAAATGGAGATAAAGTGTATCAACCATAAGAGTTGTATCAATTGGGAATGTGACCAATGGTTGCTGTTAATGGGATAATCGTTACGTGCCAACTCCTGGGCGGGACTGGGGATGCAGTCATCGGTGGCTGGCAAATGGGAGACCCTGAGTTCAATTCCTGGTACGAAAGAAAAGAAAAAAGGACCAAATCCAGGGCTGGGCACTTTGTTACCTATTTAATCGTTGTGAAATATTCATGAAGCCTAGATGTATGTCATATATGTTTGGTGCTTAACAAATGGCAGCTCCTATCACAGTACTATGCTTAAGTGAGCTGCAACCCCCACCCCCCAGCACTGCACACATTGTTAAAGGTGATTGCCATGCAGTGTGTGGCAGAGCGAAATGAAACCAACGTGCCACTGAGGGTTTGGCCTAGAACCGCTGCCTCCATGCTGTAGGACCATGCGCAAGGTGACCTTCTACCCTAGTTACCCTGTCATCCTCTGCAGGACAGGATGGCCACAATTGCTAAGAGTTGGGCTGAAGGCCAAGAAACTGTTGGATGTGACGAGCTCTGAGAAGTGTAAGGCATGGTGCATTTGGTTCAGGTTCTTGCATAGTTGTAAGGTTGATGTCAAAATTATGTGTTGTCTGTGCTCCTCTTTAAGTGTTTCTTGGTGAAGAACTTTCCTGTTTTAGAAACACCAGCTAGGGGCCAGGGAGATAGCTCAGCAGCATACGTGCTTGCCTTGCAAGTGGAAGCTCCCAAGTTTGATCCCTTTCCCCCCAAAAAAACCCCCAAAGAAACAAAAGCTAGCCATTTTGATAGGTAAGTTTGAGACCATAATTGACTCTGTAGCAAGAATGGGTGCAAAATTAAAACAGAATTGGTAATGCGACAGCGAAATTTCCCAAGCACTTTTAATTGTTCCTTTGAACTATTTTTATCGCTTTTTTTATTTTTGGAAGTGAATAAAAAATATTAAAAAAATGAAACAAAACAATTTCACTCTACAAAATGATAGGAATTCAACAATGGTTGTTATATAGCATATTGTTGTCCTCCAGTTAGTGGTTCAGATGACCAGATAAAAGCATGCAAAATTGGTCAAAAAATTAAAAAGAAAAGAATTAAGCATTAACTGCTTTTTGCAATAGACTAGTATAGTCAGCAGTACGACTCTCTAAGCTATTCTATGTGTATACATATATATTTTTCCCTTTCTTCTTGTCACTTTGAACTATTAAATGTACATGTTGCTGAATTTGTAACTGAAGTAAAAAAAAAATTGATGTTAGAATTTTTTTTTTAATGTACGAAGTGTTCTAGTCATAGCAAGATGAAGGTAACTAGGCATTGAATTAATTTGGATATTTATGGTAGGAAGTTATCAAAATGAGCAGATTTCTTTTAGCTAGGAACGCCTGGATCCACACATCAGCCTTTGTACTCTGTTGGTGTATAAAGTGAGAAATACGTTTGCATCTTTATTCCTACTTGATGAGTAAGTGAGTTGTCCAGCAATAAGAATAAGAGAGAATTCCCTTATTATTTTGAATAGAGATTGGAAAACTTTATTCATTAAAGGTTGAGTTTTAGGGCCAGCCAAATAGCTCAGCAGATTAAACCGCTTTCTTAGGCAGATGCAGCAACCAGCGTTTGATCTCTGGGTGGCCCCGCCCTGAGGGCACACTGAGCCTGAGATTGAGACTGGGCGTGGTGTGCGCCTGTAATCCCAGCATTTGGGATGAAAACAGGAGAATCACTACGAGTCTGATCTACATAGTGAGACCCTGTGGACCCTGTAGACCCTTACTAAAATTAAAAAAAAAAAAAAAAGGATTGCATTTTAGGGCTAGGGTTAGGGTTATATAGTGTGAAAGCGGCTGTAGAAGATCCATAAACAAGTGAGGAGGGTCAATAGTATCTTCTTTATAAAAACAGGCAAGTGGGCTGCGTTTGGCCTGGGCCTGTGGATTGCTGGCCCCATCTGGACGTGGAGCCCGAGGCATAAAACAGCTCAGTGCGAGCTGGTTTATCCTGATTTCAGCAGCGAGCATCTGTCTTTAGTTCTTCCTGTTAACTTTGTATTCCTTCTGAGGAGTTTTGCTGTTTTCTTAAATGTAAATAAGTTCTTTCTTCTTTACTCCCATAAATGACGCCTGGAAATCTTGTTGTCTGTTTTGTACTTGGCAAGTCCTTTTCTCTTTTATGCCTGCCTCTGTCTATATGATGGAAGTTTGTTATTAGGGCAAGATAACTTTATACCTCTCCCACCATGATCACTGTTCAATTTTTTTTGTAAATCCAGAACTAGTTCTTGTCATTTTTTTCTAGTTTTTTCTTTCCAACATTATCCTTTTCCTGCACAGTTTAAGGAATCCTTTTCTTTTTTTGGTGCTGCTTGGGATGGAATCCGGGGCCTCACATGCTCCGCCTCGCCGATCTGTACCCCCCAACACTAAGCATCGCTGAACTACACTCTTAAGGATGCTTGATTGCTTATAATTTATGGTGCTGCTTTCTGCCTGCAGCCACCCAAAGTAGTCTTTCTTGTCTCTTGCTTCAGCAATTCCCACTGCCTCGTTTCAGTTATGTCCTGTCCTGTAGCCGCTCACCTTTCGCCTCCCAGAACATTTCCACGTCTGCCTGGTCTCCCTCTGACCCTTCTAGCTTCAGATCACTTTCTTTCACTGTCTATTCTGTTTCTCCTTTCTTGACCCCTCTCTGTTCTCCCAACCCGCTAATCCCTGGAACACTACCCAGTTGGGGACCCGCTTTCACTTGGATAGTTCCATTTAGCCAGGACTCCTCCTCCCTCTGATACACTTCCTCCTTTTTAAAGGGCTGACAAACAGCCATCCTTTTCTGAGTCTGTAACTCGGGTTTAGGATGGTGAGATAATGTGTAACAGTTGGGTTATGAAAAATAAAAGCAGATGATTTCCAGTGCTGCCCGGACCTTGCACAGCTCCCAGGGGTCCACGGGCAGCACTACATGCCATTTTCCGTGTCAACGCAGGCATCATTCTTTTTAATTTGTGTTTGGGCTTTGCACACTCAGACTCCATTTGCTTTTGTTTACTGTTAACAGAAGCCGCAACATCCATGCAGAAATAATCATGGACTTGGCCAGAAGGACGCAGGGAAGAGCAGAGGGGACCAGCAAACCCCTCTGTCATCTGGCTCCTCTGCCTGCAGGAAAATCACTGTCTCTTCTCAGCTCCAAGAGAAATTGTCCTTCTCAGCTAAAGGATAGAGTGGGTTTCACATTTTGGAATCATTTCTTAGCTGGTAGCTTATCAAATCGTTTGGCTTAGTTTTCCGAACGTGCAGATGGAGTGAAATAGTAAGACATGAGACGGAAAAGCGCTTCCGTGTGTCTCCAGGCTTGGTAATGTATGCAGCCTCGCTGGGTGGTTTAAGCGGGTTAGGTGCATTCTCTGAAAGGGAGCTTTTAATGACAACACTAATGTGATTATCTGAGCGAGTGGGAGAGGCTCTGAAGCCCTGGAGAAAGAGAATCTGTTAGAAAAGCTGAGTGTATCTGCTTAATCCTTTTTCTAATGTGGATGGACCCTGCTCTCCGAGAGGAGATTGGTCTTTTCTTTAAACCTGTCTTCTTTCCTTCCTCTTTTAAAAAATTCCCTTTGCTTTCTCTTTCTTTCCTTTTATTTGAATGCTTATCCTGACAGGTAGTGACACTTAAGGCTTTTAAACAAATCATTATCTGGGCTTTCTTTGGCATATGTGGGGTCAAAGGTTAGAGCCTCAATATTTAGGCACTCAGCTGACCAGTTCAGCTCCAGTTTACATGGATATTGTCCTTCCTACACTGTTCCTGAGTGCTCTAAAGCGAGAATTATTAAAAGAGACTTCTAATTGCTTTTGAGTATTTCCTGAATGTTCACTATACCATGTGGAAGTAGGAAAACAATTAAGACTGTGCATTTCAAGTGTTGCTCCTACGCTACTTTACTATGTCATTATTTAAAGTCCTGGAGAATAAAGTCTATTCCACAGTGCAGCCCCGTCCTTTGGGTGTCACTGGGGGCCGAACTGACAGCGTTGAGCTGTGTGCTGCACCGCTGGAGCTATAACCACAGGCCTTTCTATTTTATAGTTTCCTTTTAGTTACTGCATATTTTAAAGTTTTTATATTGCTACAGAGTAAGTTTTTACCTGAAACAAATACACAAAAATATGCAGATAGTTGAACGCGCTTGCTTATAGACATGAGCATGAGACCTCAGGCATATTTAGGTGCCGCGGGATTGCCTTTCCCTTGGGTTATAACTTTCGAAGTCGAGGACGTGTAAGGCAGTGGGTAAGTGAGTCTGAGCTTGATCCCAGCTCTGACGCCTCCTTGGTGCGTGGCTTTCACAATTTTCTTAACCTCTCAGTGCTTTTGTTTCCTCTCTTGTAAATGGGAATAGTGACAATTAGTGTTCCTGAGTGCTTCATAGTCTGGTATAGGCTAAGCTCTAATTGTATAATAATAGTACTATCTTGTTGTAATATCAGGAAGGTAGATTGTCTGTGGACAGGGTTTGGGCTCAGAGCCTATATTCATAGCTTCTGTACTGCATATTTTGCAGCCAGACCTCTCGGAGCATTGGTTGCTCCCTGGGGCACAGTGGGAAGTATACTAAGTTCAAGGAATTTCAAGAGCTGTACAAGCAATGTCAGCTCTAGCCATCCCCATTCCAGTGCATTCGTGGTCATATTTTAAGATTATTTAGAAAAGGCCACAAAATAAGAAGTGTAATACAGGGTCTGAGTGCTGCCCCTCCTCAGATGGACAAGTCTGTAGGTTGTTAGGGTTAAGCGGAGGTATTATAG